CAGAACCTGGTTACCTGAGATCCCCATATTAGGGATGTTAAAGTGAATGTTTAAAGCAGGCTGCAGCCCGGGTTTGGCTCACAGGGATTATTTGTGTATGCAGTGACCTAATTGCTTGAAACTTCAGCTATGTTTTGATATCAGGCTCCATTAATGTAATAGTCTACATATAACAGAACATAAGGAAAGGCCAGAAACGCCTCGTTTAATAACCTTTGCGAGGATAAACACACACGTTTGTGTCCTTCAGCTGACTGCTCACTCATTCATTCACTCTTTATGTTTTCATCTCCCGTCTCTCGCTCATTTTCCAGATCTGTGTCGGACCCCAAATTGTTTAAGGAGAGATCCGCAGCCCATAAATCCATGAGTCAGCCGCAGTCCAGCTGCTCTTATGTAACATTCCCATAATGCAACAGTGCCTGGTCCCTCAGTCTGCTGCCTCGAATCCCAGCACGCCACGATGTAACAAAGAGGAGAACAAATCTGATCTGTCATCAGACATAAACACAACATGTCTGTTTACTACAGCTGATGTCTCCGGCGTGGGCCGGAGGCTCACACGAGAGCAGCAGCTTTGTGTTTCACCATCAGGTGCTGAGAGGCCCGAGCGAATGAACGACTGAGGTCCAGAAGCCATAAAAATCTCTGTGCTGACGCAAAACACATCTGCTGTTACAGCAACCCTCAGCGCTTGCTGCTGAACAGACTCTGAGCTCGGAAAACAAACAGAGCTCGAGCCGACGGCGGGACCAATTTTAGAAAAGCTGGTGCCTGAAAGCTGCTTTCGCTTCCTCTACAAAAACAAACTGCTTGTCCAAAAAGTCCATTTTTACCCAGCAGCTGACCACCTCTGTGCGATGAGTGAAGCTCGGCAGAAAGTTCTCCACTTCATGTTCACGTGTTCCTCGGGTTATTCTGTTGTCACGGGTAAGTCAAAGACGGGGACACAATATTAGGAACCTTACTTTTATTTCATTCAGATTTATTACAGGAATGTTGCCTATAAACCCTCGAGCATCGTTGCTCTCCTTTAGCAGGTTGTAGTTGTTGTTGAGGAGGTTGAAAATGTTTGAAACCTGAAACACATCTTTAGTTTGTCACATAGAAAGTTTGCAGACTTCTGGAGCTTTTCAACCCGGCTTTAGCCTGAAAAAGCTACATGGGCCCGCCACCCACAGGAGGGGTCGTACAGGTTCAACGCTCTTTGAATCAGTCAGAGATGGAGGTCCTCGAGGCCCAATCCCAGTTCCAAACCGGCTGAAACACTAGTTCATGCATTTATTACTTCCAGGCTGGACGACTGTAATTCATTATTATCAGGAAGTCCTAAAAACTCCCTAAAAATCCTTCAGTTAATCCAAAATGCTGCAGCAAGAGTCCTGACAGGGACTAGAAAGAGAGAGCAAAACAAGGTTTTGACTAGAATCAGGCCCCATCTTTTCTGAAAGACCTCATTTTACCTTATCACCCCAATAGAGCTCTACTTAAAAGTAGAATTGGAGGCAGAGCCTTCAGCTGCTTGGCCCCTCTTCAGTGGAACCAGCTTCCAATACTTTTAATATTCGGCTCAACTTTCCTTGTGACAAAGCATATGGTTAGGGCCGATCAGGTGACCCTGAATCCCCCCTTCATTACCCTGCAGTAGGTCTGGGTGTGTGTTTCGGT